GGCGGGCGGCGCCGTCATATGACCGCGCGGCCGGCGCAGCGTACCTTAGCGCGGCGCAGCGCAGAGTCGGGGCTCGGCCGGGCCGCAGCGCGGGGCCCGTCTGCCGCCATCATGCTGGCGCTGCTGTCGCGGCTGCTGGACTGGTTCCGCTCGCTCTTCTGGAAGGAGGAGATGGAGCTGACGCTGGTGGGACTGCAGTACTCGGGCAAGACCACCTTCGTCAACGTCATCGCGGTGAGCAAGGCCCGGCCCTCCTCCCCCCTCCGCTCCCGGCCGCCCGGCCTGCGCCCCGAGCCGCGCCGGGTTTTGCTGCCGGCGGCAGGGAGCCGGGGGCCTTGTTCCGCCGAGTTTTCAACCTCCCGGGGTGGAGGGTCCTTTTTCGGGGCGCCCTCCCCCCGGGGCGGGGGCTTCCGGCCCCGTCGGCACCGGACCCCCGAGAAACGTGCGAGTCCGTACGTGAACGGCCCACGGTTGGCGCCGCCGCCCCGGGGGCACGTGGCCCTGCGTAGAGGGCTTTTGCAGGGAATAATCCCTTGATAGTAAATGGAGACTCTACAGTATCTGTCCGTCTGTCTGTACCTGACAAACGCTGAAAGCCCCACAGCTTACGAAGCCAAAGGACTCAGTAAAGAGGTTTCTGCAGGGAGCTATCCCGTGACCTCAGGAAGCTGAAGAGTGTGCGTGTGTGTGTGTGTGTGTGTCGGGACCTGAGGACCACAGCACTGAAAGCCCCACAGCTTATGAAGCCAAAGGACACAACCCCAGTAAAGAAGTGTTTTCAGGGAACTATCCCTTGACCTCGAAGCTGAAGCGCGTGTCTGTGTATGATACGCGGGGCTTAGACAACTGTTGAGGTGTTGTAGCCTCAATGCATGTCAGAGCTTATGTTTGCAGGGTAGTAGTTAGGAAGGGGCTCAACTCTGCTCAGATGGGAGTTCATCTTTCTTTGTTTAAGTGTTTTGTCTCTAAATAAAGTCACCGGTTGAGTCATATTAGTAAGCAGAGTTTTTGCTTATTTTTCACTTTAGAGTTTTGGTTTATGTTTTATTGTTTTTTGGTAAGTGAAGAACTTGGCTTTGTAATGAAATATTGCTCATAACTGACTCCTGTTCTGACAGTTGTTGCCTAATCAAGAATGACTGTTCCTGCTGAGCATCATGTGATGTGTAATGAAGCTAGTTTTGTTGGGTAACACTTCCTCTGTGTTTAAGCTAAGCAGATGTGTGAGAAGAACATGTTAAGGAAGGCTTATAGTGAAGCACCTCTTCAGTTTTGCTTCCCACAAGTGGAATTGCTTAAATGAGTTCAGCCTGCTAGGGTTTGTCCTCCTTGCCATGGTTATTAGTCTGGATCTGCCCCTTTCTCTGTCCCCTCTTTAATAGTACGCAATAATGGCAAAGGTTCTGTAGTTGTAGTGAACATGAGAAGCCAGGGTGTGTTGTAGTAAGGAGAATGGGACCCAAATATTCAATTTTTACCTTCCGGGAAGGTGAAGGAGTATGCAACTATGTCAAGTGGCAGAAATAATCCTTTTTTTGAAAAAATAACTTCTCCACAGAACAGAATCTAGCCTGCTTCTTATCTGATGATTTCTTGGTAAGATAATTAAACCTTTCCCCCTTCATGTAGCACTGGGAGGGAATAACTACTATTAAATGTGCTAATAAAACTGTTCCCAGGTGGCATTTGTTAAACTGGTATGCAACATCTCTGTGGCGGAGCTACTCGTGCTTAATGTTGCACAGCAGTGGCTTAGAAGCTGTCTAAAATAATATTTTGGCTATCTTGCCTTTTATTTGACCTGATGTTCAGTTTGTCCATGAGCACCAAACACGAGTCAAGGGTAGGTTGAATGGAGGTAGTGGTTGCCTTGTTTGAAGTATTTGAATAGACCTGAGCAATTCTGGTGCTAGGAATAAGTATCTGGGTAAAATATACAAAAAACCGTATGCGATTCCTTTTTGTAGTATAGATGCAGGGCATGGGTTGCATGTTAGAAGGATTGTTTGGTTTTTGGGGACATGCTTTGTGCTCTCTAAGACCAGATTGGAGCCAAAGCCTTGACTGTTCTTTGCAGTGTGTGCAGGGCATACAGTTCTTATTTAACTCAAGCTTCTTGCACTAATCTGATTCCTGTAACTATATGTATTGAACTTTAATCGGGTAGAATGTTTGGTGCAAGTTGTTCGTGGGCTTCTGATCTGGCTGCTAATCACGCTCAAAATGGAGAGCACACCAAGCATGAGTCCTGTCCTAGATTGATCAGAGCTGTCTTTGCCCTATATTGATTTTTTTTCTTCCCCCCCCCAATGTAAACTGGCACTTGACCTCTTTGTAACTGGACATAACTATAGGTTCTTAAGTGCTCAGGATTTTTAGATACTATTTAACTCTTAATCAGCTGGCATGTGAGGCAGAAAAAAACCCAGTAGAGCTTCTGCTTTGCTGTGAATGTTCCAGGTTAGTCATGATCTGTTTGATTGATACTGAATGTAACAAAAAATTTTCCGTGAGTAAATTTGTCCACACAGGAACGCTGTTGTGGGCCATAGTTTCCACAGTGTGGAGTCGTTTGGCTTCCAGATGCAGCTTCACTAAATCTGGCTGCTTAAGACTTCCAGTATTTCCTATTGGCTAGTAATTGAAAGAACTTTTACAATGTCTTAATATCTCTTCTACAGTGCCTTAATATCTCTTGCTGACTGCATCTCTGCTGCTTCTGAACAGGCTGTCCTAAAGCTGCAAGTCGTATTCCCCTCTTGAATTGGATACAACAGCCATACTCCTTTTAGTCATGGACCAGTTCAAGTGAAAGAACAGATTCTTTTTGCACAAAGCCTAAAATCTAGAACCATCCTGTGTAAATATAGGTTTTAATTGAACCTCTACTCTGAAAACATTCTTCATGGATCATACTGGACTGATAACTGTGGAAAATGCGTGTGGGGGGGAAGAATCCTGTCTGTCCCTTACTTGATGCTAACAGTTTGGATCAGATATCGGGCACATGCTAAGTGTTATGCTCCTCACTTGACAGTAACTAGCTCTTAATGAAAGCATGTACTAGAAGCTGCTAGGATTTTGGTGTCCTTTCAACATACCTTTTTTTTAAGCTGAGCTCTTAGGGTGTGTGTAGAAGTGCCCAGAGGCTGCTCCAGCAGACTGTAATTAATAGAGTCTGCTGGAGGATGCTAATTAACACACTCCAGCCAGCCTCTGCATCTCATGCATCAGCATCCCCTGCTTCAAAATCAGCATCTCTGTGGTGGGGGTGCTTCAACTAAAGCTTGTTCAAAGCTTTTACATGTGCCCCCCAGAGCACATTTAAAAATGCCCTTGGATGTTGAGGTGGTTACAAATTGGGGTCTCATCTAGGCTTTTTTTTTTTGGCTGTCAGCATTTAAAACACAGCAACTGATGCCAGCTTCATGTCTGATGCTACTGTGTTTTTGGCTGTAAACTTTAAGGAGAAGTTTTTAAATTGAAAGAACAACCAAAAACAGTGAACAGTTCTTATAAAATGTAAAGTGTTAGTTGATTTCTGAAATTAAAGAATAGGGCATTGGTGTTTGGGCATGTTTGAAGTAGCTGAAGAAAATCTGGACTTATTTGAGATTCTCAGACTTTGGTTATCATGGGCATCCTTGGTATCCAAGACTAGTTTTTGTCTAGTTCATGGAAAGATTAGCTGGCCAAGTGCATCAAAGAAGGGCATTTTAGAAGGGAGGTGCCCAAGTTGTCAGTCAACTAGTGTTAGTATACTGACTCCTCAAAGAACATTGAGGAAAAATACCCTTTAAGCAAGTGCAACTCTCACTTTGTTGGTAGCTTTTTATTTCCCTTTTGAATTGCTGTACTTGTGTTTTCATAGCAAGTCCCATGAGAGCCGATCCTTTTAATGCTTAAAGAAAATTGATCAAGATGGGTCTGGGGAAAACGGTGCATGCACCTCTTTAGTTCCTTTTCAAGGGTACTGTACACGCTTCCCAGCATCATGGCTTTGCAGCAGCCCTGCTCATAGCATGTGAAAATATTCTGTTGGATTTCTGATGCATGTAAAGTAATGTTCATACAGGCCTTTATATACATGAGTATAATCAGTGTTGGTCTTGTATACTAGTACACATTTTTAAAGGGGCTTTTCTACGTGGTCTAAATGAACTGTCTTGGGTTAAGCCACTATTACATTTGTTCAAGGCAAAGCATCAACTACTCTGCCAATAGTGGGTGAGGGAGGAGGTGGAAGTAGACATGACGTCCACTGGTAGTTTTACCTGCCCCCCCCCCCCCCCCCCCCCCC